TCATAGTTTCATAGTAGCAGCATAGTAGCTAGGGTCAGGAGGGACCTGAACAGATCATCTAGCCTGACCCCCTGCCACAGGCAGGAATGAATGCTGGGTTAACAAGACCCCAGACAGGTGATCATCCAACCTCCTCTTGAATATGCCCAAGGTAGGGGTGAGGACCACTTCCCTGGGAAGTTGGTTCCATATTTTGGCCACCCTAACTGTAAAAAATTGCCTTCTGATCTCTAACCTTTTCTCCATCAGCTTATTACCATTGTTCCTTGTCACCCCAGGTGGTGCTGGGGAGAAAAGGGCTCTATTTGCTGTTGATCTCCCTTGATGAGGTTGTAGGCAGCCACACATTCAGCTACTGGGTAAAATTGTATGTTTGTGATCACTATGATTTCCAGCTCCAAACTATGACTTCATATAAAGACCTGGGGCCTCCAATCCTTTACATTAAATGATATGGTTTTGTTGGTTTCCTTGAAGTTACTCCTGATTTGTGCCAGAGTAATTAACCAATAATTAAATCATAAAGTTCTGTGCCTAGTTCCTGAATGGATAGACTGACAATTTACTGCAGGGAGTAAGGAGGCCAGACTTTCCTGTGTGGCAACTGCTCAACAATAACTGCTTTTATGCATGCTCTTACCTATAATAAGTGAATCCTAAATGGTAATTTATCCCTCATTCAGTGATGGTTAAGCTACCATTGTAAAGTCCTGCTCTCACTTAACCCATGATAAATGGTTCTTTTGTCCATGCCCTTAGTTACGATTTTTCTCATGTCTTGCCATGATAAACAACCAGCCTTATTAATAGATTTTTCCAAGTCAAGTGATTCAATGCAAGAGTTGGCTGGATAGCTAAAATGAATACAGCATTCATTTTTCTTTCCAGTGTTCCTCACCAATGACAAATGCATTGTTATTTTGGCCTAGAATGTTATTCTTCTCCATCCTTTGTAGCAGGCTTCCATTGCTTGAGTATAGCTCAGAGCAGTTCAGGCTGAATGCTCATGGTTTTGTAACATGGTAGGGAAATTTATGAACTGCCGCAAAAGATCAGTTATTTAACAACAAATAAATAACATGCTAAATTCTATTCTAGAAACCTACCATTGACAGTATGTCAGAGAATGGCTACAAACTGGATAAAGTAAAAGGTGAAATTGAGTTCCATAATGTAACATTCTATTACCCATCCAGGCCAGAAGTAAAGGTAATTATTCATCATTTCTCCTGTGAATAATTTGAGCATAAGCAATTACAATATGCTGTTTTAGCGAGTAATTTCTAAACTCCATTAGAGTATGTTTTTCAAAAGCACAAGCCCTTTGTTTAAACTTGGGCTATTAATCATTTTAGTGTCAACAGTATTAGAACTTACTATGGCTTTTAATCAGCTTACCCCATTGCTTTCTCTTTCTGACATCCATTGCTATGCAAATTCCTTTCTGAAGAACATGAACTTAGAGCAATGCTGTTCCTTTGTAATGAATTACACTGTTTTAGCAATGTGCGCAAAAAAAAGGCACAAGGTAATAAAATCTTTTTGCTCAGTTCATTTTATCATGTAACTTCAATTGCTTTAGAGATATGCAATGTATTGTACCTCTGCCTAGTTCTTACAGTACATGAACATTACTTACACATCTACTTCAGTGCTGCTGTGTTTAAATGGACACATTCTCCTTAGAAGGCATACTATCAAGCAAGAGAACGCATGCAATTATTTTAGGAACAGGTGCTTATTACGTATGACACCTGATTCTCATACTAGCTTTTTGGTGCAAACAATGTTTAGATCTTTTCAGGCACTCGCCCTAGCTATGCAGTATTCTTTTTGTAATGATATGTTTGCTGTGTTCTGCAAAATGTATTTCAGGTGAAATTAACCTCTAGTATGCACAAATTCAGGTCCTGTTGACTTAAATGACAACCAAGCATGAACAAAGATCAGAATTGTTTGTATTTTCTTCCTGGGAAATAACCCCATTCATGATGTATACTTATAAACTCTTAAAATTATTTTAAAATATTTTGGTTACTTTTTTTTCTTACTGTCCATTTCATAATAAGGGTGAAGGAGTGCACCTGTTTGACTCCAGAAATGCATGGTTCCTTTTATGTTTTCAGATTTTGGATAACCTCAACATGGTTATTAAATCAGGGGAGACAACTGCTTTTGTTGGACCAAGTGGAGCTGGGAAAAGCACTGCAGTGCAGCTTATCCAGCGATTCTATGACCCTAGTGAAGGCATGGTGAGATTATGTCACTTTGCCCTTCACTTGAAGGGTATCATATTTTTCACTCAAAGTTAAGAGAAGATTTTTCGTCAAGGTGTTTTTAAAATAGTCATTACTAAAATCAGTGGGTAAGAGATAAGTAAAATGTCTTGTTTTGTCTTGTTCTGTTTTCAGGCCAGGAACTGTAGTTATGCTTTTAGAACAATGCTGGAGAATCCTGAACTGACCAAGTTTGGGAAATGTAACATTAAGCACTTAACTATTATCTCATAATACAGGAGACCCTTGTCATTCATGGGGGATGCGTTCTTGAGATCCCCACGAATGGCGAAATCTGTGAATAAGGCACTGCATTCATGACCGCAGTGCTCCCGGCGGCCGGGGGTTAGGGGGAGGCATGGCTGCGCTGATGGTGGCAGGAGCACGGCGGTGGCAAGCGTGAGGCTCCCAAGGAGCTACTGTAAGTGTATTTAAGAAGTGGGTTTGGCATTTGCGAATATTTGAAACTGCAAATGCAAACCCGTGAACAGCAAGGGTTTCCTGTATTGCTACAATATGTGCTGAATGGATTAGCTGCATGTTATTACCAACAGCATTTAAGGTTCAGTTTATAAATGTTCTTAGTGCAAACCACATAAATGTTGATCTGTATCTCATGACAAAAGGCCAATATTCAGTTTACTATATACAAGTCATTGTTTGGATTAATTCATGTAAGAAATCAGTCACATTACATTGGTATTTCCATGATTTCTTTATGTAGTAATGATAATAGTCAGAATGTTCTATATTCATATAGCACTGTTCATCTGAGAATCTGATGGTGTTTTATAACTTGGAAATGTTTTATAACTTGGATTAAAAATGAAGAAAAATAATTTTCATTGCCCAGTTTTTGAAAGGGAATGATTTTTTTTTGTTCATTTTTTTGTGAATATCTTTATAAAGATCCTGGTTTTGAAAATTTTCATTTTCAGCACTTTTTGGTTTTCTTTATTCTTTCCTCCCCTTTCTTTTCTTCTTTCTTTCACTGTGTCTTTGAAAAAAGGAAGGGGAGAAGAGGGAAATTGGAAAAAGGACAGGGGTTGGAGAGGAAAAAGGAGATCCTGAAAGAAACAAAAATGACAAAAAATGACATCTCTGTTTTTAGATAAAAGTTGATTTTGGACCCCAAGAATCCCCTGGAAACAAATGAAAAATGTTGACCAGCTCTATTAAAAATGATAATTGATTCTTATAACCTAACACAGGGAGGTAGGTGTTAGAAATGCAGGCACATGGAAGCACCCAAATTAATGAGAAGTGCTGGCTGGAAAGCAGGAATCCCTTCTGTGAAAACATTCAACTTTGGATATATTTTTGCAGATAGACTGTGAAAATGAGAACAGTTTTCCAAGCATGCAGCCAAAAAAACCATTACTTCAGCTTTCCAAAAGAAAATAGGTATCTTCTAAGAAATGTTTCCTATAGAAAATATAAGTTTTGTAAATTAATCTAGAAAATCAATTCTGATGAAGATTCTGGAGGCCTAATAAGGAAAAGCATAATTTCTTATTAGGTTGAATTTTCCCCTGTGTCAAGCTGAGATGTGCCCCAGAACCCATCGGACCAGTGCTAGGACTGTGAGGCTTAAAGCTGCAGAACTTGGTGTGGCCACACCGATTTCCAGGTTTTTTAGACCCCTCAATTTGAGCATTCGGGTTGTTTCTGAAAAAGGGGAATTTGGTGCAGCCAAAATATCCTTTATTTTTTAAATTTTAATTTGGGGGCCGCCAAGATGCTTGAGGCCAGTGCAGTGAAGAAGCCTGCAGCCCTAGAGGCTTACACTGCATCTCTGGGGCTGAGCATAATTGTGGCAGTGAAAAGAGGGATGTTTGTGGCTGCTTGCAGCCTGTTCTTGCAGGGAACAAGGCCCTCCATCACAGCTTTGAGTTTTTACTTTTTATTTTTATTTTTTTCAGTGTGAGGTGCTGGTGTGCATAAGTATGTCTGTGAGTGTAGTGCTGGTCTAGGCAGGGAGGTTGGGATGCCTGGATGCTGGCCTTGTTGTGTGGCTCCATGATTCTGTTCTTTTATTATCTAATTTTATTTTTCATTGTATTGCTTAAAGTGTAAACAAGAGTGATTCTATCCTTTCTTTCTATTCTTTCTTACCCCAGGGGGATGCAGCAATAACTTCATTTAAGACCATAGACTTAAGTAGTATGAAATTTGAATCGGAAACAAGAATGGCACTGACTGGTTTTCCATTTCAATTTATGTGGTTCTGTAGGTTACTCTGGATGGCCATGACATTCGCTCCCTTAATATTAGGTGGCTGCGCTCACAGATTGGTATTGTTGAGCAAGAGCCAGTCCTGTTTGCTACCACAATTGCAGAGAACATTCGTTATGGGCGAGATGAAGCAACTATGGAAGACATCATCAAAGCAGCCAAGGAGGCCAACGCCTACAACTTCATCATGGATCTGCCCCAGGTAGATTGTGCCTGTTAACATTTTTTAGCAGATCTGGATGGATTTTATGGAGGGAAGTTCCTTTTTCCTTCTCCCACCCCTGCAACCTGTTGAGTACTCAAATGGTTGGGTAGCAATTGAATTGTAGCTGTCCCAGAGGCTCAAAGTGAAAACAAATGAGAAAGTTACAGGTGTAATTAGTTACATGTGATAACAAATTTATCATCCTAAGCTGCTTTCCTAGATTCTTGGATGGGTTAGATAGACCATAGCAGAAAGACTTTTTAACATACATGAACTTCCCTGAAGTACAGTAGAAGAAAGACAGGATTTGGTTTTAAGTGAGCATGAGGAGATTCTAATTTGGGGTAATACTACAGAAATAAGGTCGTGCAGTTCCACCTAGCTGTTTATGTCCCAGGCTAACCACACAAAAACTATACACTCGCCTATAGGCTTGTTTATATTGCAAAGATTCTGCTACTATAGCTATGCAGGTGTAGGTATGTCAGCTGAGCTTTCCAGTAGCAATTGAGTGCATACTGCTGGAGAGGTTTTTCAGCTGTCATAGTTATACCATCTTCAGTTACATTTGCTAAGATGGCAAAAGGCCCCTTTGGTTAGCATATCTGCCTCATGTATAGGATAGGATCTTTTCACACCTCTAGCTAACATAGCTACATTAGCAAAAGTCTGTTGTGTAGACCAAGCTTAAGTGTTGACAGAAATGGAGCAGCACCATATACCTGATATTGGTGTACTACAATGCATGTGAATCATGTAAAGCCAGATGAGCACCTGCCATTCTGAAACAAGCCTGGGGTGCTGCAAAGTTTGCTAGTAGGTCACCACGAGAGATGGGGAGAGGGAAGATTTTTCACCTATGTTACAGCTCTTTCTGATGGAATTGCTCTGGGTCAAAAGGTAGTGTAAGCCTCCCTATTTAAGAGGAAGGGTTTTGTTGAATATGTAGGGGCCTCCATTTGGAGGGCAGAACAAGTTCTAACACTACTGGTTTTTCAGAGATTATTATTCCTCTCAGGCCTATTCCTTCCTCCTGTTTCTATGAAGTGTGAACACTGATTTCAATGGGAACAAAGCAGAGCCCTTCGCTATATGATTCATTCTAATTTTCTCCTCTACTCAGCAATTTGATACACATGTGGGTGAGGGTGGAAACCAGATGAGTGGAGGTCAGAAACAAAGGATAGCTATTGCTCGCGCCCTTGTCCGAAACCCAAAAATCCTGCTACTGGATATGGCAACATCAGCACTGGACAACGAAAGTGAAGCTATTGTCCATGAAGCGCTTCATAAGGTTTGCTTTTTATGCTGGTAATCAAGTTTAGAGAGGCATGAATACATTTGCAAAGTATTGTGCTTACACCGTGTGTAAAAAAATAAATAAATCAGTATTTATTTTTTCCTTTAACATTTGTTTCACATGTACTAAATGGTGCAACATCATTAATGATAGGGAATTGCTCTTAACATTTTGTATGAAATCTGGAGGTAAACAGGTTAAAATTCCAGCCATTCTGGAATATAAATTTCCAAATGAGCACTGGAAATGCATGTGAATTTCTTTTATAATTTCTGTCAATCTAAAAGGTTCACTACAGATTTCAGTTAAACAGCTATTTTGAAAACAAAATGTGAACATTTTTACTTTAATTTTTACATATCCAAACCACTTACTGCTTAGAAAGGGCCTAAAATTTCCTAAGAAATCAACTTATTCTCAGGGTGAAAAATTAATTAGAATAATGTTGTTAGTGAAATGGGTCTACTTTCATACTTGTGGGGAAATGGAACAACTATGATTTTTCTGAGTGGCTTTGTTTTTCACTGAAAATGCAACACACCTTTTGCCATGAGCAAAGTATGGTTTGTTTGATTTTTATTAAAACAGAAGCAGAATTTTCAAACTTGGTTGCTTAAGGCCAATGCCTGTCCCGTTGTTATACAGAAATATGAGAATGTGAGCCTTTTATATGCTGAAGGTATTCTTTCAACAAACAACCTGATTACAATAGATTATCTGAAGAAGGAAGAGCTCAGTTCCCTTTGTTAAGTCAGGAAGCAAGTATTTGTGGGAATAGAGCAGTTAGAGCAAAATATGGCCATCTGCAGATTGTTGATTTTTGCCAAATGAAGTTAACCAAATTAGTGCTGAATGTCATATTGGGTTGACTCAAAATAAACACTAAGATTTTTTTTATTCACCTTTTTAAAAATAAATTCACTTGTATATTTAAAAAAATGCAATTTATAAATGGAAAATCCAAATGTTTTGCTTTGGAAATGTTGAAATGAAAGGTTTCCGCTTTTTAGTTTTTCAGTATTTTTCAGCCTAAACAATTCAATGAATTTACAAACTCAAAAATTGTTTCAGAATAGAAACAGGAACCTCTTTAGTAAGAAAAAATTTTCACATGAAAAATCTGCTGAATTCTTACCTTGATATGATCTTGTTTCTACAAGTAGCATATGCCTGTTTGAGGTTTAGTTCCATAGCGGAACCAACTTCCAGTATGCTGGAGGCGCTACTTCACTGTCAGGGCGGCTAGGATCTGGAACCAACTTCCAAGAGAAGTGGTGCTGGCTCCTACCCTGGGGGTCTTTAAGAGGAGGCTGGATGAACACCTTGCTGGGGTCGTTTGACCCCAGTACTTTTTCCTGCCAAGGCAGGGGGTCGGACTTGATGATCTGCTCAGGTCCCTTCCGACCCTACCAACTATGAAACTATGAAGTTATGGATAAGGGCATTATAGGGAAGGACTTTTTTTCAGTTGTTCTTATTTCCTAGGAATTTAGAAAACATTTCCAGGTTCTTTTGCTCTGGCAAACTTGTTTTTCATCTCTGCTTGCTCCATCTAGAGAATACCTGTTCATTCCTCCTCTTCATTAATATGCTTTTCCCATGGATAATGTGCCCAAAACCCCAAAGCTGCACAGCTATTAAGTCAGTGAGATTCCTTTCGAAGAAAAAATGCACTGCTGCTGGGGTCCAGAAGGTCTTTCCTGGAAAGTATTCTGCTTCTTAGTTGGTGCATCTATATGAGATGCTTACTCCGGAGTTGCCTAATTGGCTCTAAAGAGTCATCGGTTTACACATGCAGAGCTATTAGGGTGGAGTAAACTGATTAACTCTTCCACTGATTAGTACTGTCAGATACAAGTACTATCCTACAGCATAGTTATTTACTCCACCACAGTGCATGTGTAGATGCTGATGGGATTGGCTGGGGCATGAGGGAGCTTCAGTACAAGGCTGCCAGCCAGCTAGCCCTGCAATTAAGCATACTTGTACCCCAGCCAGCCCCTCTGCCGCACACTGAGCTGGGTCAGAGCAGCTCCAAGGGCCCCCAGCCAGCTGGGGCTGTGCTGCCGTAGCTTAACAGGCTGTAGGCCAGGGTGTATGTTGAAATGCTGTGCCTCAGAACTGTGAACAGCATGAACTGTGCCAGAGTTTATTGCATTGCATTAATATTCATGTGTAGACCCACCCAGTGGAATCTTTGTAAGAGGTTTTTCTAGAACAAAGATGTGGATACATTTTTGTTCATTTTTTGGCTTCACTTAATCTTTGCTATCTAAATAGAAAAGGGATTGCTTACTAAGATAACCTTCTTGCCTTCTGATTATGCTGGTTCCCCAGGGCATCTCAATTCTGAGTTGCCATCCTTTACCCTGCTTCAGACCATGAGTCCTTCAGTTCTTGGGAGTAGGAGAGAGCTGAGGAACCATTGGAAATGATGTTCCCCTTTGATCAGGGATCTTTGTGTGACCACTAACTTTCTTCTACTACTTCAAAAGCTTCTTCGATGCTCGGGCATTAGCCTGATGGGAGCCATATACATATTGAGATGAAGGGGCTGTCTGCTGGGCATAAAAGACTTAGAGCATTGCAATGTGTACCCTCCATCATAAGGAGTACACAGCCCCAAGTTAGGCATCCTTGGGGAAAAGTAGACGTTTAAAAATGGAATCTCACAAAGCAAGCACACTGAGTGGGGAGCTGCCTAAGTTAGCCAGTAGAAAATCCTGAAGGGAAGGATGTATCTTAAGATATACCCCCACTCTAGGACTTAGGCAGCTCTCTCTGGCTGGGATTCACAACTGTCTACCATGTTGTGTGTCAGTTTCAACCTGGCACACACTCAGAGATTACTATTGGATTAGGTCCCACAGGCGATGAGGTGGTGATAGCTTATGGATGCTAATGACATGAGTTAAGTGCTTGACTGCTGAGATTTATGCAGTGTTGGGAATACCCAAAAGCAGACAGTTAGTCATGTAGGAACTTCAGATATCTCCATTATTAGGCAGCAGCAAAACAAGGGCTTGGAGGTTCCAAATTTTGGAATTAAGTGTTTACATAGTTAGGCGGTGCTTAGACACGTGTCTCCTTTGTGGTTCATCAAAACAGTAAGCCATTCAGAAAACATGAATGAATTACTTCAGAAAATCACACCTGTTCATTGAGTGTATTCTATCTTTCTTGAAATCGGAGTTCTTCTCATGTTCATAACAGTTTCAGGTACAGCTTCAGTTTTACAAACTTTTAACCTTTTCATTACTATTTAAATTAGTATTCATTCATTAGAGGTAGTGTCACTGGTACATGTCATTTATGCAGCAACACATTAGAACACAACATTTAGGTATTTGTTTGCAGTACATGTAGAAAAGCTTATAGTCCAAATCAGAGTCAGATTCTCATATCCTTCAGCAACCCCTTGCAGTCAAGGATGATTATCTTCTATAATTGTCATATCTATGTGTCTAAAGATAGCTGATAAGTAGTGTTCCACATTCTCAGTTTTTATTTAAAAAAAACTGGGAATTTTTCAGTGTTTATCTTCAAAACATAAAAACTGGGATGAAATCAGGATAAAAGGAAGAAAAGGAAAAAAACTAATTTTAAGTCAGGGAAAAGTCAGCGGTGAGGGAGGGATGGACTAATGCTGGGACTAGGGAAGAGGTGAAGGAGTGCAGCTGGGACTGCAGCAGGGAGCAAAGCAGGGTGAGCTGCTGGTGGGTGCAGGGCAGGGGAGCACAGCTCTTGCTGCTATGTGCCCCCCAGGAGGGCTTCGGGGCTGTGTTGGGCTCTTCCCGGGGGCACATGCCCCTGGATCTGCACACAGGCCAAAACCAGGTTGCCATCTGCCCTGAGCACCGGGAAGAGCCCAACTGCCAGCCTCAGTCATCAGGGAGCAGAGCTGGGCTCTCCTGCCTGCCCTCCCCCTGCCCCCAGTGGGGCTCACAGCTCCCAATGCCCAGGGCAGGGCCAAAGCCAGACTTGCCAGGGTGTAGCTTGGACCCGCCTGCCCTGGGAGCTATTCCCGTGGTCTGGCCTGGCCTGGCCTGCCTGGAGTCAGAACCAGGAGCCCTGTGCTCTCAGGCAATGGCTCCAGCCACCCTACCAACACATGTAGACGTGACCAGCGTATCTCAAAATGTCTGCGTGCTGTCCTAAAAATGTTGCTCCTTCTCTCTGTCAGGGTCATCTAAACCGCACTGCAATCTCAGTGACTCATCGTCTCTCCACAATCAAAACTGCTGATGTCATCATAGGGTTTGAGCATGGAAGGGCTGTTGAGAGAGGAACACATGAGGAGCTGCTGGAAAGAAAAGGGGTTTATTTTACACTGGTGACTTTGCAAAGCCAAGGAGACAAAACACTTAATGAAACAGCAGTAAAAAGCAAGTCTCTTGCCCTTCTTTTATGAAATGGTATAAAAGTCTACAGAACATAGATTTTTTTTATGTTAGATGATTGTTTTTCTTTAGTTTTTCTGAAGGCTGAATGTTATTGTCCATAGAAGTGATACATTGATAGCACTGGCTAAAGTGTATTTTGCACTAGTGGCCTGAATGACCTTTCTTATACAAGTCTGTCACAGTATCCTTCCTGGCCTCCAATGCACTGACATTTTATATCTTAATTAAGTGCTGACAATTCAACCATGTTGTATTTGAAATACAGGCAACTTATGGTCTGGTAAGTCCACATTTTTTTTCCTAAAGGCATATTTGAACCCAGGCTTCTAGAAATGAAAGACTGAAGGACTCGTATGTTGTACTGCTGTGAAGCAACAGACCTTGGATATGATTATCTTTGAAGGATGAGAGCAACTTGTGGTACAAACATACTGAAACAGGTTTCAATAGCTACAGCCAGTTTCAAAATGAGATGATCATTAAGTCCACATTAAATTCCCTAACATTACTATGTCTAATGCAAAGGTACAGAGAATAAGTGAAGTTTCCTACAAATCATTCCTACTGTGGATTAGGGATAGTTTTCTGTTTTGCAAATAAACAGCTAGTTTAGATTAGGGGTATCAAACATCTGGCCTGTGGAGCCCTATCACATAGCCTGGGGTGCTCCCCATGGATTCCAGTTGGGACACACATGCCACATGTGGCATGCTCCAGACCAGCCTGTATGCCACATGTGGTACTCACTGCCCCAACTCCATGCCAAGTACCTGGTGTGCAGGGTTGGTTCAGGACATGTGCCTCATGTGGCACGTGGAGCTGGTCTGGGTGGTATATTGCATGCAGCACCTGTATGAGACCAGCTCTGCACCCTGGATCCATGCTGCAGGCCCAGTTTCTGGACCTGATCTGACCACACACCAACCCCATGTCACTCATCTGGGCTGCAGGGCTTGGTGAGTTTGATACCCCTGGTTTAGAACATGTTCAGTTCTAATACAAACTAAGGAGTGTCTAACATTTATGTTTTACAGTAACAGAAAATAACTTGCTTGAGCCAAACCTTGAGAGAGTGCAGCATTTTAGAAGAGGGAGCTATCGAGCCAGCTTGCGGTAAGCCTTTCTAGCTGCCACACCTCTCGATGCATCTCCACATGTCCATATTTTGTCAGGTTTTCCTCAATTGCATGGATCCTGCATGGTATCCTGTGTCTCATGCAGACAAGGTATGAGAAAGCTGCAATCACAGTAGCTAATGCATATAGAGGCACTGCAGGTACAATCCAGTTGGAAACTTGTAGATTGTTTAACAAGTATCTTATGCAAAGCTCATCAAGTCCATGAAAAGACTGCTAAATATAGATCCTCTTCACTTTCTCTGCATGCTAAGCTTATGTCCTCATACTTAAGGTGAGGGCATGATACACATCCCCAGTCCTGGCGTCCTGCACAGGTACATAATGGCTATAAGACAGGTCAAATATTCCTCCTTCATTAACATATTTGAGGTGGCAGAGGTACTATCCTCTAGAAGAGGAGTACCTGATGGGGTTTGTGTCCTGGAGCACCAGAAGGAAGGCAGAAGGGCTTAGGTTTCCAGTTGTGCAGAGCAGAGTTGGGGCAGGTTGCTGCTGTATCTCCAAAACTTTCCCCTACCCTTACAACTGTTTACTACCCTTACATCAGTTTTATAAGGTGAGCAAGAATCCAAAGTCCTTAATTCAGTGTTGGATGCAAGGCCAAGGCCAGGTTAACTTAGCTCTTAATGGTGACACATAACACCTTCCTTCACAACAGTGGCATCTCCCAGGGGAGGGGGATGACAAGGGGAACTCTGACTTTGCTCTGCTCCACAAAGGCTAAAGGCTCAAGCCCCTCTCCCTCTCCATCTGGGACCCTCCTTTATGGGACCCTCCACCTGGGACCCAGGGCTCGTTCCTGGTCGCTCTCCCTTTGTTATGCTATTGAGCACTAGCATCTTCTCAGCTGAGTAGCTCTCTGTCCCACTCATGCAGTAGACATTGGCTTTTGCAAGACCAAGAATGGGGGCTTTATTTTGTAAAGCCTGCTGACTCTGCAACTTTTGTAATAATGGATTCTCATCCAAGCAACACCATATAAAAATGGGTGGAGTTGTCCATGGTACTGAAAACATCTGGACAACATGCTGACCTTTAGTGAACAGGGTAGTGGAAAATGATGTAAAGCACTACTTAACATACAATCAAGGACCCGGATTCTGGCCTAACATTTTCATATTGCACTCTTCATATTCATGCTAACCACATATCCATATTTACTTTATCTACATATAAGCTGATAGCATGGAAAAATAATTTTTTTTGGAATTTAATCATTCTGTTTTGGGAGACTGTATTTTCTTCACATCTAAGGACATTTTTATTACTACTGCTACATAGGCTTGGACATTAAAATTGTAATCAGAGACAGAACTCCAAAGGTGTACCCCAAAATTCCTTGATGGGACTTGCTTAGCAGTGCTTTAGAAATAGATTATAAGGAAACTATTTCTCTGACTACTACTATTACTAAATTACTACTATATTACTACTACTATTACTACTACTACTACTGGGATTTCACATTCATGTCTGTAATCATGGAATTTCTTTCCAGAGAGCAGGCATCTTGTGATTCAGTACGGTATTTATTAATTTCAGAGGGAAGCAATTCAGACAACACTGCCAAAGCAGCAAATGTAAGATGCTGAGATCCCAGATCCTGAGACTCCATATTGTCAGGCTAGGTGGAAAGCTAGCATTCATGACATTACTGTATTCACTGTTCATGTTCCACTACTGTGTGAAGTGGTGTGTAGTACAAACTACTTTACAGTGACTGACAGATCTGTAATGAAATTGTTTTGACTGTATTGAAGGAGCATCACTTTTCTGATGCCCTATCAAACATATTTCACATGGAACAGAAATTCTCTGATTCCTTTAATGAGTAAACACTGTGACTTTGGTATAAAACCACAGTGAGGGTTGAGTTATGCACCCCTGAATAGACTAGAAAAGTAATTCCAGTTCTTCCTTCTGCAGTTTAGGAGCTTCAGGAAGGTGGTGGATAGAGTTTGTAGGAGTCCTTAAATTTGTTTCAGTAAGCCCTGATTTCAGATTATTATCTAAACTGATGTGAGAAATGAACCACCCTTGGATGTGAGTATGATGTCATCTAGCCCACGAGGGACAGATCTTTTCTATCTTCCATTTCACAGAGCTTCAATTCGGCAGCGTTCCAGGTCTCAGCTCTCTAATGTGGTACCTGAACATCCATTCGCCATTGCAGGAGACCACTCAGATGCTGTATACAATATGCTGCATTATGATGAAGACTTTACATCTTCTAAAAAGGTTAGAAACAATAATTCACTACTAGATTGCAGACAGACAAAGCATGTTTTTATGTTATTTGGCTTTGCCTATTGCCTATATGGTATTGTTGGAGCTATATCATCCTGCACACATCCATTCTGTGTCCAAACAATGATATTACTTCTGGTCTTCTCCTTTACCTTAGCTTGATACTGCTGTTAGTGGCTTTGATACATATTTGCCCAAAGGCAAATCCTAGTAGACCGTATGTCTGGTTGTAAAGGATTTGCAGTAAGTGTACTCACAAAAGGAAATGTAGTACACAAGAAGGAAAGTGCTCATTTTGTGGAGTACAGCAATCATTTAGAGGTGGAAATTTCATGGCTTGTTCAGTAATGAACTAGACCTTGAGATCATCTGTACATGTAAAGTCAACAGGGAGTGTAACTGGAACTTGTCCCAGAGCTCACTGAAATCAATTAGTTTCATTCTCTCCATTTCACTGAGCTTTGGATCAATTTTTTGGTGATCTGGAAATGGTGCAGAACTGAGTATGCAGCATATATATTAAGCAACTGCCTTGAAACTGCCAGCACCAGTTAGAACTGCTTCTCTTTGGTGCAGGGCACTATGTGAATAAATACAGTACAGTCATCAGGGAAGTGACTTGGGCACCTTAACTATCAGAAAAGGAAAAGCAGGACAGTCTCACCCACTCAGTCTTGCAAATTGCTACCAGATAGATATTGAAAATGTTTGTTCCCTGGGTCACTTCCAATAATATGACTAAAATATATGATCGAGACTCAGCACAGTACTTGTTGTTATAACCATCCTGTCTCAAATTAAAGCACAGACTAATAACTGGGTGATGAATATTCTAAATTTACTGAGACTAATTATGAATATTCTGCACCTAATGTGAAGACATTTCATATAAGTGAAGTGTAATTACCAGTAGTATGTGGGCTTGGCTCAAGGTATAATTTTTGTTCTAATCACAGTTCAAGCACATTGATCTGACACAGAGTCTGTTCAAATGCCTTCAGCACCGCTGCTTTGAAATATTCCATGAACAATAAAATAAGTCCCCTTATTGAGGAAATAATATAAGAGTTCAGTAACAGCTCTTACACCTGATATGATCTGGAGGAAGCAGAAAGTAAACTGCCTTAGCTGAGGTGGCTGAAGGCATTATAGCAGCATAGGAAAGCAGCAAAATGTGATGGTCCTAATTAACACCTAATGTAACTCAGTTGGAATCAGGAGTTACACTAGTGATGAATTCTCCTTGTCTACAGAGCCACTGGAGTAAGAGTGTTCTGTAATATACTTATGACACCAAGCCCCACACTGGAGAAGCACAGGCAGTCTTGCATAAGGAAAGAATAATAGAGGGAAGTGGGTTCCTTGCACTTTCTCTCTTTACAGTAGCTTGAAATGAAGACTGAAGCATAACATAAATAAGAGATGGGTTAATATTTGTATTGTTGACAAAGTATTTTACCCTACACAAGACACTTAACTGCACAGTAGCATAGTTTACTTTGCAGTAAGCATGTGCATCTACATGTGTACATGCTTAATATGCAGTAAACCTTGCTAATCATGAGTATTTTTAATCATGAGTATTTTTAATCATGAGTAAATTTACTGCCTGCAAATGCAAGTAGCAAATTTACTTTCGATTAGTAACAGTGCAGTAATATTCATGTAGACTGACCAGGAGCAAATCTGTTCCCAGTCACCTGTCCACCAGGGAATGGGAGATTGCTCCCTGCCCCCAGGAGCTCCCAGCTGCTAGAGCAGGCTCCACCACCCGAGCCTAGGCAGGGACTATGTCCCTCTGCCCTGGCAGCAGGGATCTCCAGGCACACTGCTCCAAGATCGTGATGGGGCATAGGGGGTGGGAGATCTTTATCTCCCAGTGCCAGCTCTGTGGTCGCAGGGCCAGCACTGGGAGATAAAGGTTGCTGAGTACTGGCTCCATGACCGCAGAGCTGGTGCTGCTAAATAAGGATCTCCCAGTACCAGTCCTGCTGTCACTGGGAGATAAGGATATCCCAGTATTATGGAACTGGCACTGGGAGCTCCCTGCTGGTGGGGCCTGAGGAGCTGGGCAGGGAACAGGATGGAGAGCTTGTTTCCCACCAAGCTCCACACTAGCAGAGCTGAGCAGGGAACAAGCTCCCCAGCCTGCTCCCCACCCAGCTCCATGCTTGTGGAGCTGAGCAGGGAACAACCCCCGCAGCTTGTTCCCCACCAAGCTCTGCACTTGCAGAGCTGAGTGGAGAACAAGCTTTGTGTGTGCGGGGCCGGTGCTGGGAACTGTCCTGTTCAGGGGCAGGTCCCAACCTCATGCCCTGATTGGGTGATTGAGGCATGGGACTTGAAAAGAGCTACAGGGGTGGGGTAGGTCACAGCTCCCTGCCCCAACATGCCAGTGGGGCAGCTAGCAGTGAGCTAGCTGCTAGATACCCCACCAGCACATTGAGGCAGGGAGTTGGGACCTTCCCCTCCCCTGCAGCTCTTTTCAAGTCCCCTGCCCCTGATCGGGGAGCCAGAGCCAGGTCTCCCTGCTGCTGGGGCAGGGGGACATGGTCCCCACCCTGGCAGCAGGCAGCACCCTAGTCCTACCCAGGAGATATGTCTCCTGGCCCTGTGCTCCCTGCCAGCCCCTAGGTTAGCACCCAGGGGGAGCCTAGAGCTCCCTCTGGTGGCAGCAGGAGCCCATTGCAGGGCTCCAGGAGGTGGGAGCAGTTAGAGGATAAAATTTCCTGGCACTGTCACATATGATCATGATAAAAGCAATAGTTTAGAAAAAGACTAGGCTGTCTGTTGAACTGAATACAGAAGGCAAAATTTTGCTCCCAACTGTGCACAGAGGGATACTTTGCTCTCTCTACTTCCACAAAATGAAGCTGAGCTGCCTCTGTGACACTGCATCTCCTTTTAAAATATAATGCGAGATTCTCCATAAGGTCCACATTGGTTTTGGGAACTGTTCAGGCTGGCGCTGGGGTAGAGGTGGTGTGATGGGTGAAGTTAGGGCTATGCACCTTGCCATTACCTGTCCTTCACACATTGCTGGGGAAATACAATAGTACTTGTGTAATGCATACATGCTGAGTGTCTGCTCACTTGGAAACAGTCTAAGTGATGTGACACCACTGCTCTTTTAACTGATTGCTAGGAACTTAATGCCAAAGTTAAATTACCCAGAAATTCTCCGTGGATGTTCAGGAAAATGGTCTGAACAGGATAATGGAGGCTGTGAAGTGGAGCTCACATCACTAAGGCTACCCATTGTGGGTAGATGAATGTTATCTGTTATAAATGTCATTGTAGAATGGTTTTGCTTCATAAATCCAATATATTTTGTAGGAAACTTTTGTTAATGACAAAGAAGGGGAAGTGGAACCTGCACCAGTTGCAAGGATTTTGAAATACAATGCTCCAGAATGGCCTTACATGTTGTTTGGATCTTTTGGAGCAGCTGTGAATGGGTCACTCAGTCCACTCTATGCTCTGCTATTCAGTCAGATTCTTGGGGTAGGTCCTGCTAATATTTTTAAACTGCAAAGAATTGTCTTTGTTATTACTTCTACATTGTTAACACCTAGAGCAGGCAAGAGTGCAGAGGAACCAACTGTGAAATAAGAATTGCTGCAATCTTATCTCTGACCTTGACTCCTGTGGCTTAGGGCAGTGGTCTCCAAACTTTATTGATCATGCACCCCTATCAGTAAAAAATTTTTGAGCTTGCACCCCCAATATATGTATATTTATTTACAAATTATATACATGTACTACTGTACTAATATATTATGTACATTATAAAACATACACAAAAAATAGAAATTAAATCGTCATTGTTTTTACCTTGCAATGTGGCTGATGAAGAGCTTGTACTAGGAGTAGGAGAAGTGTCAGCTCTGCCATTTTCTTGTTGTTCTCTTGTGCTCGCATTATTAGTATTATCTTCAATCCGCGGTTTCTTTGCAGGAATCTTTTTAAGCCACTTGTCCATTTTGTGAGGGTTAGTTTAGTTAAAACTAGATAATATAATCTGTAAATCCACTTAACCGGGCACATGTAAACTTCAATACGTCGCAATATGCTGAAAGCGAACGAACGCTTCTTCCCTCAGGATACCTCACGTACCGTACATGACATGTGACCGTCCGACAGACGGACTGAGTAAGAGCACCAGTGTCAATCTGTATATTAAATATTAGTAAAGCTTAATTTCTTTCTTATTTTTTTAGATAAAAAATAAATATAAATAGAAGTTCTAATATTTTCTTCACGCACCCCCTGGGATCCTCTCGTGCATCCCACTTTGGAGACCAATGGCTTAGGGCAAGGCATTTAACTGCTTTGTCATATATTCCAGTCAGTAAAAGGGATAATTCTTCCTGCCTATCAGGAAGATATTCTGATAATTAAACACTGTTCTTGCTCTGTTCTATGTAGCTTCTTATATGAATTTCATCAACATAATATTTCAACTTCTTGAAGAAATTGTCATGACTCACTTCTATTGTGTATTTCCTTCTTTCTATTATTCTTTTTCAAATGGCAAAATTTGCGTTCCATGTGCATATATGGTATGTATTTGTAGTTTGAGGTATTGTACATAAAAACATAAAATGTCTTGTGGAAGTGTACACACTATCTTATGTTTGCTTTAGACAAGGCAAACTTGAAGATGTCCATCTGCTAATCACAGGAGATTTGTAATGCTCTCTAATATCTGTTGTGTTTTGTTCCATAGTCTTGGACTGTTCCCCAAAATGACTTTTGGTCAGATCTGAAAGGACTGAAAGTTAGGTGCTATTATCCTGAACTTTTAGGAGCTGGCCTCCTGGAATGGAATCCAAAACCCTGAGCTAGGTGTCTGGGCTTTCTAATTAAAGTGAAGAGTTAGACACATTGGCCCAGGATCTACAACAGCCAACATGTTCAGCAGAGTGTTCCCTGAAGCCCACACACTCCAAGTGCAGCCACTTAGAACTAGCCAGTAGGTAATAGTGGACTGGACAGTGTCCTGAATCTAGCCCCTCACTCAGGGCTGCAGGGAGGTGCCACAGCAGTTGCCTACAATCTTTCTGACAGTGAATGAGCAGGGGTCACTTTTCTTTTAAAATGAAGCCAAACTAGAAAGTGATGGTGCTGTCTGCTTTCTAACCAGTAATTTAATGGTCATCCAGGATGTGAAAACTCAGGATTCACTTGCCCTTTGTACCTGAAGGGACTCAAACTCACATCTCCAATATCAGAGGAAAGTGACTTAATCACTGGAATGTTTTCAATTGCTCCTGGTTCTACATTGTATAGAATAATAAAACAATCATTGGACAATACAACAAGAGTAGCCTAGTGGCACCCACCTGGGAGAAGACATCTCGGTTCTTTTCCATATTCCTGTGAATAATTTGTTATTGTATAAATGTGTATAGATTCATGGAAAACATCCCACCCCATACTAAGCTACTACTAGTGGTTAGGGCAATCTCCTAGGAAGTTGGAAAATTGGAGGGGCATCTTCCTTATCTTAGCTGAGTGGTCTAATCACAGTACTACTGATTAAAATGAAAGGCTTAGATGCCTAACTCCCGGACAGAGTTCAGGATTGTGAATCCTCATAGGAGGGAGGGACCACCTTTCAGTCCAAAATTAGGCACCTAATTCTATGTGCTAGACAGAAGTAGGATTTAAGGCACATCCTTGCCTTTGACATATCTTGTTGGCTGTTAAGGTGGCTGTCTGCTTAGCATGGTTGGCTTTGTGGACCTCACTGTAGACACTTACACATTGTCTAGTAACCTGGGCCCCTAACTCAGGGCTGTGGACAACACTTGGCAGTATGGGACTTAACCGTGAGGCACTGTAATGCTCACTGTTGGGATGGGTAACTCTCTTTGGGGATTTATCAAAGGAGCCCTATATCAAGTTAGGTGTCTAATACCTTTCCAGATCAGTACCTCAATACCTCCTGCAAGATGCTTCATTTTCCTGGTTGAATGTATCATCTGCAAGCCTGAGTCCCAGTGAGAGGGAGTTCACTCAGCACTTTGTAGAAGGCGTTGCAGTTTCCAGAAGAATTGGGACCTGACTTTCAAAACAAACACCATGTCTTCTTATTCCTAAACTTACAAGGGTTTTGCTGTATTATTGCAGAGCCAGGCACACAGCCTGCTAATAGATGGAGCACACATCCTACTCCAAGAGCTGTCTGAATACCCTACTTGATACTGATGATAGATGTGTTGTCCTGTGCTCTAGGAAACATAAACTCAGGAAAGGAAACAAAACACATTTGCTAAATAGAAAAGCATCTAGTAGAATGAGAGAAATGTTTTCAGGGTACTCAGATGTTACCACAAACAATAAATAAAGGACCAGACAAAGATTTTTAGCAGGAAACCAGATCATGAATACAGGCAAAAGCATCAGTGTGTGCACAGAGCTGGCTAGTTCTATCTTACATTACAAATTTTCAGGGGCAGACTATATCCCCAGTGAGGTGAACTGGATCTCCTGCAAGCAAATACTAACTACATTTTCAGCCACAGGGTGCAGTTTGGGAGGAGGGATGTAGGGGATCTGAACTATGCTCCCAGTTTGTAAAAGCATCTCAGCACATGCATAGCTATCTCAGCTGAGACTGTGCTTTGTTTTTTGCACATGCTTAAGTCCTCTTGACTGTCCTGCTTTCTTGAGGCCAAGGCTTGTACTAGGTACCCTAGAATGAATGGCAACTGGCTCAGTCATAAATTTTGTTGGGACTCTTGCAAACTTCATACTTACCTGGGAGCAGCACATATTCTTCTCTGTATCTGTCTAGGCTTGTCTCCTTTAAGGAATGTGGGCATAACCTATCCTCATAACATCCTTATATCCTGTGGAGAAGATTCACTTCCATTGACTAGCCTTACTGAAGTCAGTAACAGTTTTGCTATTGACTTAAATGTAAGTAGGATCCTTGTTCAGTTTCACTTACTATCCTGTTCTGAAGATGATAGGCAAATATAATATATTTCTTTATAAATAATTATGTACAGGGATAATTATGTACTTTTACCCATTTAGCATAATTCCAAAGAATTTCCCTTGATAATGACTGGCTCTTAAACTGTGGTTCCTAATCTGTGGTCCATTGACCATTGGCGGTTCACAGATGACACCACCTCATCCCCCTTTTACAGTTAGTAATTTGATGATAAGAATGCCAGTGATTCACAAGAAATAGTGAGCGTTGTTAGCAGTGGCTTCCAAAACATTTGCCCAAAAGTTTTGGAAGCCACTGCTCTACAACAGTTAGTTTCATGTAATTTATGAAACAGACATAAGATATTCTATTTTCATGTGTTTTATGGATCACCTTAGCACAATTGAGTGACTGAGCAGAGCAGACATGCAACTTGCTCACAGAAAGTCATAAGAAATCATGAAGTTAAATGTATTTCACTCCATTTCACAACTGCATTATTTATATAATCCAAAGCACATAGTGTTTTATGTATATATTAATATTTCTGCGCCCTTCAGCGTGCTTTCTACTTCTACCATTTCAGGTGAAAGATGAGAGTAACCATAGTAATTAACATCCACTACATGGCAGCCATCTGTTGTTATCATGCTTACATTGTTTGCACTAGCTATATACATGAAATGCTCACTTTACTAATATTTTCTGCCATTTATATAAGCATTTAGAGATATATTTTGCATCTGCACTGTATTCTTCAATAGTAGAGAAGAAAACAAGAACTTACAGCTCTTACACTGTTACTAGGCATTGTTTACTAATTCAGACTCAGTATAGGGCATAGTTTATAAAGGCACTAACTTCACCTTCCTGTGTCTCATTTTGTTCAGATATAAAATTGAACTAAATCCTACTGAGAAACAGATGCTGCATCTTCACTTTATCTTTTTTCGTACATAAATTACAAATATAAGCAAAAGTTGCTCACAGCCTGAGCTATTAAGGAAAAAATGAGTTACAGAAGTGTATTGTAGGTAGCATCAAGCTGAAAAGAACTGCAGCAGATATATTATCATATGTTATGACCTTACAGTACTGAATAAATAACAAGAGACTGCATATTTTTTTTTAAGTAGATGAAGCCAGTCAAGTCATATACTCTGCGATTGAAAGTATTAGCATAGAATAGATGTTTGGAACAAACTTTGTCTCAAAACACTAAATAGTATCCCATCCAGGCATCGTTATTTTTTCAGAGTTTAATTTGTTGCCAGGAAGCCAATATACAAAGTTAAAAAAATACTTTGCAATGGAATTTCCAGTAGAGAATAACCATATTTATGGATTTCATACTCCAGTTCCTTCTAAACACTTTTTTGGAGAGATCGTTGTTAAACCATAACTAAGTTTGGGTATACCTTTTAAGGCTAAAGTTTAAATGTAGTTTGTGGTATTTTATATACTGTAACTAAAAATAATGTTTCAGCACCTTTTCTTATTGTCAGCTATGTAGCCATAAGAATTTAAGATGGTTTAGATCTAAGTATTAGAGGTCAAACACCATGCTCTTTCCCGAGAGCAAAGCATGCTGGTATGTGCGCATGCCTTCTAAATAAATGCCCTGCTTGCCCAGCCCTAGTTATGTTACTGCCTATGCCCCTACTGTCTGGGTCTCTTTCAGATCCCCTGCTCTTCTTCCCTGTGGGCTAGCAAACTGTTCTGGGTGCAGCAAGCAGCGTTATGTTCAATGATGACACTCTTTTTTGAATTTTATGGATCTAGATTTGGGCCTAACCTTTGTGGTTCAAACAGACCCCTCTACATCCAAAGAAGAACTTATTTAATATGGTGCTCTGGATCTTAACTTCACAGCTAAGCCCTGTCTCTGGTTAGATTTAAGAGCATGGTTGTTCAAACATAATCCATCCTAAAGGATTTCAGACTTTAAATAAATATAACATAATTCAGATATTAAAACAAACTTATAAGGCAAGGTTGTGCTTAAAGGTTTTTCATACAACGGGCTGTCACAAAATGAAACCTAGGTGGTGGTCTGCTTCTGAATTTCTCATAGGAATCACTGTGAAAATGAACATTCAGGTTTCCTAAAGACAAAAGCACTTCAGTGCCCAATGCTTACAAACTACAAAAATATTAATAGAAGTGTGATACATGCAAATAAATGAAAACTAAATAAGTGTTTAGGATGTATTTTTAATTTTTAAATTGGGAACATTTCTCTGGTAAGTTTAGCCTGGTTCTATTTCTTTATATTGCTACACTGTTATTCTAGTAAGTGTGCAATAATCAAATAATGGCTGATTTGGATTTTTTTATTTAAGTGTGGGTTGCCTCAGTTACAAGAAGTGTTTAGTCCTTTAACCCTGTGAGTTCTGACAGTGGAGTAAAATAACCTTACGTATGAGTTTCTATGAATGAAGGCAGAAAATAAAGCTGACTTCTAAAGTTTGCTGTCCAGACATTCAGAGGGTATAAATCAATAAGGCTCTGAAGTCAATGAAGCTACATTTATTGCAACAGCTGAACATCAGGCCCATGATGGCTCAACCTAGTGGTGCTCAACCTTCTAGCTGGGTTGAAGGAGTGCTGCAGGGCCTGTCTGTGGGCCAAATCCTGCATGCAGAGCCAGTCAGTGGGTATGATCTAGCACGCCAGTCCACCTGTACATGCTGGCTCACTCTTGTATGCAGCTTGACCTTGTGTGTTGAATCAGGTCACATGCCAGCCTGACCCTGCCTGCTGGATCTGAACACATACTGGCCCAACTCCTCCCACAGCCTTATCCTGTGTACAGAATCTGGCAGTGGAATGACCAATGTCTCTGCTGTGTGCTGGCATGAGTTAGCAGATCAGGGCATATCATCCAGCACTCAAGGTTCTCCATGGGTCTGGAAATTTGGCAATAGGGGAGTGGCAGTTAACCCTGTCATTGTTCCCTCATTGCCAAATTCTTGGAACCATCCATAGGCCAAATGACAAGTCTTTGGGCCAAATCTAATTCACGGTCCAAAGTTTGAGCACCACTGGTTTACTCTCAATTTAAGGGACTAATTTTATATCCTGTCCATTATGATAGGGAAATTCTTCCCACCTCGCTAAGCCAGGTGCCTCAATTGACAATCTAATGTTTATACTATTCCATTTTTTTTCAAGACCTTTTCCATTCTTGATGAGGAAGAGCAAAGATACCAGATAAACACAATCTGCCTGCTCTTTGTGTTTGTTGGTGTTATGTCACTTTTCACACAATTCCTACAGGTAATAGAAATTCATTAAACTTTCTTTTGCTTGTTTCTTTTTCTGTGCATACATTTGTCTGTACAGTAACTGTGTTTGTTCTTGTGCTACCAGGGATATGCATTCGCTAAGTCTGGTGAGTTGCTTACAAGACGATTAAGGAAAATTGGTTTCGAGGCTATGCTGGGGCAAGAGATTGGTTGGTTTGATGACCACAGAAACAGCCCTGGTGCTTTGACAACAAGACTTGCTACAGATGCATCACAGGTTCAAGGGGTAAGAAATCAGCTTGAAGCAATAATTTTACTATGCTGCTTGCTAATTGATTGTCTATATTGGTATGGTATATCACAAAAATAACAAGAGAATATATTGTAATATACATCTATCTATCATTCTGTCCGGTCCCAATCTCTGTCTGTCAAAGACAGTGGTTCTTAAGCTACTTTTTGGCTCACAGCATCCTTCCACTACTTTTTAGAATTTAGTAGCAGCCCATATCAAAAATTTATTATATTCATTTTTGCACTATGACAAAATAATAGAGCTATTCTTCTATTATAAATAACACGGAAAGACTGCAACAGCTGATCATGTTTTTTGACCCTATGCATTCCTATTTTGAAATTTCTGTGCATGTCCAGAGAAGTGTGCATGTGCATTTCCCTAGGGACAAATAGCAGCGGCACATATTTGTGCCACTGCTACTTGCCTCTGGGGAACACCGATGCATACATGCTCTGGTGTGTGGCA